TTTAGAAAATTTGTAAGAAAGAAGAATTTTATTTGCTACTGAAAATAACTTAGATTTAAAAATTATTTAAATCTAGAAAGAAGTATGCAGTTTTTCTTCAGCTATTATATAAAACGCTAAACATTCGAAGGAAATTGCGCAACAACAGAAAGCAATTTGTTACAACCTAAATATGTACTATTAACAATTCATATTATTTATGCATAATCAAATTTATATTACAATGTTATTAAATTTACATACAAGCGTGAAGACATGATGAAACATTCACTATCCTACAACCAGGACCAGAAGATTGCATTTTTGGTAGCAACAAAAATGTTAAAAGAAAATGACCGATATGATTTGTTTGTAACTGCAAATCCAATCCATCCTCGGTCTTTTCTTGAGGACACATCATTACACCGGCATTATTTATCAAAATATGAATGGCCGGTTCATTTTTTAACAAGTTTCTGGCACATTCTCTTACGCTTTTTAGCTTGGTGAGATCTAACTGATAGACTGCGAGCTCGCCTGGACTACCTTGAAATTGTTCTCTGTCTGGCCTGGAAATTATATCTTATGTCACATTATTATATCATATACATATGTCACATATCTGCATATTAGCAATTAATATCAAACTATCATTCATAGTACCTAAATTAAACAAAAATAAAAATTAATTGATAATAATTGATAACAATTATAAAACTGATAATGAATGTAATATTGTTAACTATGATGTTGACAATAAAATTTAGTTTTAATCATTCAGTTTAATAAATCTTTATTTAAAGATGCATTATAAAGAAGATTACTTCTATTACTTTTATTTTAGAATATAAAAAGGGTTAGCCATTATGGTGAGATATCCTATTTATTATTAGGTTTTATGTTACATGTAAACTCTATATGCTACTCCAATTCTATGTAGTATTACTCTATTTATATTCTATATCTCAAGAAAAAAATCATGCATTACAGATAATAATTATATATTTTATATTATAATTAATACATCATTAAACATAGAACAATTTTATAAAATAAAACACATTTGCTAAATTCTGTAAATTATTCTAATATTTATATTTTATTTCAAAAATACTATTATAATTATAAAATTATAATTCTTGCAAATTATTTTATTTAAAATCATTTTAATATCATAATAAACAATATAGAATAGATATATAATGGAATAGATATAATTTACATTTTATGGAAGTTTATAATAATTACTGACAAAGATATTGTCTAGTGTGTAAAATATTTAATAAAACTTAATTTCTAAAGCAATTTTTATCTAAAAAATAATTAATGAAAGAATGATCCAATTTAATAAATCCATTAGTTACTTGATAGATGATAGATTTTCTTAATAACTTCAATCTACTTAAATAAACATGATTATACTGTGCTCTATTAGACTTATTCCTGGAAGTTTCAAGACTGCAAATTATACGGAAAGTTGTTACTAAAAGAAATATTCTCTCTTGTTTTTTATATAATTAAGAAAAGATATAAATATCTTACAATAATAATATAATATAACAATATTAAAATTAAATTAAAATTAAATAGAAATATTTATTTGGAAAAATGACAATAACATTATTGTTGAATTATGTTGTAATATAAATATATGTATGTATATAATTGTATTAGATATGTATAAGTAAATATTAATTTATAATACTAATCTATATACTAATCTATATACTAATCTATAAAATAATCTTTTTATTCTGATTTGGAACGTGTTTAGATATTTTATAGATTTTTACAAAACTAAATTTGAACGCTAAATTTATATGTTGTATAAAGATTCAAAAATAATAAGTTATAAAAATTCGTAAAAAAATTATACATAAAATGGTTATATAATTAAAATAGTATATATATTTTATTTAATATAATCAGTTATTTAATTAATTATATAAAAATTTAATTAGATAACTGATTATATTAAATAAAATATATATACTATTATATCCAAATGAAAAATAAAAATTGTAAACAAGCATTTCGATAATAAAAAGCGATAAGACTTAAATTTTGAGAATATTCATAATTTTCTCATTCGAATATAAGCAGTTAAAATTATATATTTGTTATATGTAATAAAATATATGATAAATTAAGCATTATTATTTTTATATATATACAATTATATGTATATTTTCTTCATATATTTCTTCAAAAACTTTATAATTTGTTATTTTTGAATCCTGACGCAATAAATATGGAAGTCAAACTAGTTTTAAAATAGTATTTAAAAATCTATATAAAATAATAATTCTTATATCCATTCCAAAGTCTAGGAAAACATTCTTTTCATTTTGTATACTTATGTAACTTATTTTTTATTATTTAGTTACCAATTATTAATTGCTAATCATCAGCTTACTATTAACTGACAAATTATAAATAATTGCAGATAAATCCAATTCATCAATGTAATCAATGTTTTAAAAATAATGCATACGTATGTATTATAATTTTATTTATTCTTACCTTGAAGGAGGATTTTCTTTTATATCTTCAATCGCATTATTTGCTTTCTGTACATCACGACAAGCCAAAATTACTCTTGCTCCTAAATATAAATATGTAATTTACATGTATTTAAACATATAACAATACATTAAATATATAAGAATATATTCTGTTCCAAGCTGTGCTAGAATACTATTAAATTGATATTACAATGATAAATATTTTTAGTAAATATGAATTTTAGGTAACAAGAAATATGAATTTACTTATTATCAAATGTTAAATGCATTAAACGTATATCGAGAATACATGATTTTCTTGCTTGGATAAAATAGCTCTAACTCAACTCAATATTGTCGCTTCAAAAAACTTATTAACTTTTCTTGAAATCTTTCGAGATTACAATTTAATTACCTCTTCTATAGAGATCTCTAGCGGTCTCCTTGCCGATTCCAGTATTCGAGCCTGTTATAACCACAGTTTTGCCAACGAGTCTTACTTTACTGGTGCATTCACTATGAAACGACCACATTTTCACGATATTTCTTTTACACGGCTTCACTAATGCGCTCTTAAGAATATAACTGTCAGCTATCCGCTTTAAACAACTGACAATGTTCAAATGCCAAGGCTGTCGCAAAAATATTATATTTTGTCGGCGTTGATGAAACCTTTCACAGATGTAATAAGAATAAAAGTTAACGATAAAGCAGAGAAGCAGACACAATCTGCAAGCAATTTTTGTATTACGATATTTATATGACGTTTAATACGAGAGGGGATGATCTTTAATGGAGAGGGGACAATGCGTCACGTTTAAAATACGTAAAGTAAAAGGAAAGAAAGAAATATGTTATATACAGAGTTCCTTTCAATATTCCTACCTAGATATCTTTTTCCTACGCCTTTTACATATACATGTAAACTGAAAGTCAGAAAGTCTTTTGACATTGTTTGATGCTTGTCTAGTTTTCACTCTCGCGTTTCATTGAATCTTCTCCAAATTTCTCGTCCTCATTTAATTCCTTTTTAATTCCTTGAGATCTGAGTTCTTTTTAAGTCTCTTCCTCGTCTGTGCAGATATCCATGATAAATATCCTAGCCTATTTGGGAAGTCGATGATCGTCGTTGAACAAGTTCATATCAGATAAATTGTTTTTCCTCAATATCTTTTATTATTGTATCTTCCATTCCTATATTCTATATTCTTATTTCTTCATTTCTTATTCTATCTCTTCTAGAAATTCTCATTATCCTTCTAAAATTTCCACTTTCTTTAATATTAAATCAGTTCTGCTCCAAATATATCTTTTTAATTTTCTGCCGAACGATTCAAGCATTTTATTTCGGACTTAAATATTAAGTAGAGCATTTAATTTTGGAATAAAAGTAAAATTTATTTGGCATTAAAGATAGCTTAAATATAAATTATTTTATAATAGTCGCATGCAGTGCACGCTTAAATAATTCACGGATATTTCCCTGCATATTTGCTATAGGATAATAATAAAGGATAATAAAAGAGATAATTAGAAATAATAGGAATAGTAGGGATAATGAGAAACAATTTTCTTTGAAATGTGAACTTTAATAAGTTCTTTAAAGGTCATATTAAAAAAGATTCGTATAAACAGCGTCCCCTAATCACAAAACTCTATAGAAAACAACTGGTTGTCCGAGAAATCGGTCTTCCAATGTTGCATCTTTCGATTTCGGTAGACTCGATTAAAATCCAGTTGATATTTTGAAAGATACACGGACACAACACGAACAGGATTTTTGTAATTAAATCGGTGACTGAATGATGATGCTCCATGTCAATAAATTCGTCTGACTCAAGCATTAATTGTTCGTACTTTATTATAGAAATCATAAAAATCATAAGAATTCACTTCCGTATTAAAGGAAACGATTTTTTATAAAAACATCGTTGCTGTTGCAGTTATGCTATGCGAATAATAGTTTTCTTCTTTGTTGAAACAAAGATTAAACTGAACAAGCACTGCGTACTCATTTGCAGTACAACCACTCACACAACGCATGTCCAAAAGACATTTCAAAGACGTCTTCTACAATGTCTTTCTAAGACTTTATGAAAAGATGTCCTAAAAACGTCTTTAACATTTGATAAAAAGATGTTTGAAAATGGTAAAATATTAAATTTTTTCAGAGTCGAATAAGTTAATATTATTTTTTTAACTAAATTAAGCTAAAGTTAGCTTATAAAATGGCTTAATAAATAAAATTAATTTAGTTAGGTTAAAAGTTACACAAATAAAAAGCTAATTCAGTTAAAAGTTGCATTAAAATTAGATTAATTTAAGTTCAATTAAAAGTTAATTTTAAAAAACTTATTAAAAATTATTTGTATTAAATTAGAATGCCGTAATTTTTAAAATAAACAATATTCTAAATAATAAACCAATACAATATTGATTATCAAATCGATTTTATATTTTATTTATTGTAACTAGAGAAATAATAAAATATATTTAATTTTCACTAAATTTTTAGACTTTTTAGAAACCCACTTGTACTATTTCATATAAATATATATACGGAGCATAATAATTGTATATATAAAGTAATAAGAAAAATAATTATTATATTTATTACTATTATCTAAAAATATAATTACATACCGTTATCGTTATCGTTACTAATAAAAAAATATAATATTATTAATTCAATGTCAACAATAACATAATGGCGTTACAAGTACCAGATTACATTCCAATCCTTTTTAATATAATTTTTTTCATTATTTACATCATTATTTCATTAACTTGAATGTGATATTAATTATTAAGTTTTCATTTTTATCTTGAAATGTTAATTAAAATTGTTAATAATGAATCAATGAATAAAAACTAACATTAAAATAATGTATACTTGCTGCCTGAGAGATATCTAGAATTATATACACGGACTGATACATATCCATCGTATAACTAAAAATCATCTTGAGATACTCTATAATTATTGCGATTCCCTAAATTATTGTTTATAAGATATTCCTTGGACAAAAGAATGTTGTATGTGACATTTATAGCTCTGAGATTATCTTGAAATATCTTAAAGTAATTACAATGCCTCAAAATAATATCTGTAGGATATTTTCCTTAAATAAAGTAATATTGACAGGAATCATGTAAAATTTCTGTGAAATTTCTGATATTCTTCAATTTTGATTCTTTTCTGTATTAGAATGTTTAAATTAATTTCCGCAGTATTAAAACATTTATAAATTGTAAGAAATTTTTGAAAGACCTCTGTAATGTGTGCTCTCTCGGCAATATAGCAACAAGCGTAAAAGAGATATTATTATATAAAATAAAATATAAATGTATGTAATTATTATAAAAAGATTCTACATATACATACATATCTTATAATTCACATAATATATTCACATATTTTTTATCTTACATAATCATTATCTACATATTCTTCCGAATATTAGCTCTTAGATATTATATATAGATAGATAATTCTTACTACGAACGAAGAAATAATATTATATTTGATTCGGTGACATTGATTATAATAACAGTCAAATGACATTCGTCAGCTTAAACTCATGTTTCCTTAAAAGCAATACTGAAGAGCAGTATCAGAGACTTTATCTGTCTAGCATCAAATTTATGCTAATTCAGAGCGAGGATATCGAATAACGAGGAGTAAGAAAGGCGGAGAACAGAAGAACAAGAAGTAAAATAGTTGAGACCTAGATCGAGACCTCAGGTAGTCTGCACTGATTCTAAAACCTGTTTCTCTGGTGTACTATTCTCTCTCTTTCGAAAATTATAATTCGACGACTTCGATACAAAGTGTGCACGTGCAATATTTGTATAAGATTATATTTACGTCAACAAATAAATATAATAGTTATGTATGCGCGAGTGAAACTGTGCGGAGAAAGAGAGATAATAAAGCAATTATGTTCTCGATCGTTCTCGATTAACTCATGTCACTTTGATACCAATAAACCAAAGCCTTTTAAAGATATTCCAGGACCGAAATCCCTGCCTGTTATTGGCACGTTATATAAATATCTACCTTACATCGGTAAGATTAATACATATTATAATTGATTGATTACAAGATATTGCAAGCTTCATTTTTTTCTGTTTTATATTATTATACATTTTTTACACTTTCTTCTTTTTTATCAACCAAGAGTGGGATACTGTTATATGTAATGTCCTGTTCTCCATTTTTTTGCATATTTTAAATACAATACTTACTCAATTCTTTCCTAAATGTCAACGGATTAATTTTATCATAATTAATTTTATAATATAATATAATATAATATAATATAATATAATATATTATATTAATAAAATATGTCAACAGGTGAATACAGTTTTACTGTGTTACATACAAACGGTATCTTGAGATTAAAACGTTACGGACCTCTTGTTCGTGAGGAAATATTAGGTCAGCCGATAATATATGTCTATCGACCGGAAGACATCGCGGAAATTTTCAAAGCCGAAACAGGTCTGCATCCTGAAAGACGATCGCACTTGGCTCTTCTCAAATATCGAAAAGACAGGAATAATGTCTATAATACCGGGGGTCTTTTACCTACGTAAGAATAACTTCGTTTTTTTTTCTTTTTTTTTTTAATTTCGCATTTTAATTTCGCCTTTCACTCACGTACTACGCAAAAATGCCTCAAATCTTGCTAATACTAGAAACAAAGATTAATGGAAGTTAATTTGTTATTCAGAAATGGCATTGAATGGTGGAGATTGCGCCGCGAATTTCAGAAGGTTCTGAGCAAACCAAGCAGTGTCATCGATTATTTACAAGATACTGACGCAGTTGTACAGGAGTTCGTACAGCTGTGTTCTCGTGAGAAACCCAACGACTTTCTACATTTATTCTCACGTCTCTTTCTCGAATGTAATACCGTCAAGGCAAATTTTTCCATTCATTAATTTTAGGCATATATTCATATTCATATTGATAAAAAAAAAAAAAAAAACATTGTCTCATCGCTATAAATTTTCAGTGACATGTCTCGTGGCTTTCGATGTAAAGATGGAGAGTCTATCAGAAAAAGAAAAACATCCGCATTCTCGAAGTTCAAGACTAATCGATGCAGCATTTATAACAAACAGTGTAACTTTAAAATTGGATAATAGCCTAATGCTCTGGCGATTTTTCGAAACACCATTATATAAAAAATTATGCAAAGCGCAAAATTATATGGAAGAGTAAGTATACTTTAATATAAATATTAACATATTTATTAATAAAATAATATTAATTATATTAATTAATATTATTAATATATATATTATATAAATTATATTATTAATGTAAAATATTAATATAATCTTGAATTGAAAGAAATATCTCATCACACTTTATAAGCAATACATAATTTGAAGCTTTATTATTATTTTTATAGTAATTGCTTGAAGATAAGTAATATATATAATAGAATTAACGGTGTTAAAATTCACCAATAATCAGCAATACAGCACATATAACAAAAGATTCTTATAACAAAAATTAATAAATTATTGTAACAAAAAAATAATAGATCATTTAAATAAAGTCATTGATCATTTTTTAAAGTTTCTTCATTTATCAACTTACTTTAAAATTCATTTTAATAAAACATTTTAATAAGATCTATTAATCAAAGTTTTATAATGCTCTCTAGAACTGAATGTATTAAATATTGCTTTTTAAAAAAAGACAATAATAAAATTGCTTGTACAAAAAATTAAATATATGAAATTAAATATATAATCATCGTAAAATATAAAATATTTATTCAAATTGATGACTTTGAATACATTTTTTACATTTTGTATCTTCTTCTCAGAATTTTACTAAAATGAGACTTAGTTGAAAGTTAAAAAATAAAAAAGCTATAAAAAATGATTAATAACTTTATTTAAATAATTTACCTTCTATGTTTTTAAGAAATTATTATTTTATGTCGCAAAAATTTTAAATTATTTATGAAGAATTATAATGATGAAATAAATCTCTTAAAATCTTATTCATAATTTACACAATCGTGTCGTAATTTATAAATTTCCTTGGAATATCTTAGAGTAGCATTGCAAATGGTTATTCAGAGAAATCAAAATGCACTGATACATCGAAAGCAATCTCTCTTAGAAGAATATCTAAAGAATGAGGCTTTAGATATCAAAGATATTGTAGGTATGGCATGTGACATGTTACTCGCTGGCGTAGAGACTGTGAGTTCTTAAGGAAATTCTATAATAATATATGTAAAATTTAAATTAATTAACTTGATTATATATCAAAATCAAATTGCAAATGATAAAATTATATATAATGACAAGATATAAGTTTCATATTTCATATTTTAGTCAACATACACCACGTCATTTATCCTCTATCATCTTGCAAGAAATATAGATGTTCAAGAAAAGTTGAGATCAGAAGCTATGGCTTTGTTATTGGATCCTACTTCCCCAATAACGGCAGAAACTTTGAGAAATGCAACGTACACCAAAGCCGTAATAAAAGAAACTTTTAGGCTGAATCCAATTTCTGTAGGGATTGGTCGTATCCTACAAACTGATGTAATCCTCAGCGGATATCACATTCCCAAAGGAGTAGTATATTTTTTGCTTATAATTTGTTTTTAAAATAGTAGTAATAAATTAGTAATAAAATTAGTATAAAAGATCAAAGATTTTCTTTATAAAAGAGAATCTTATTGAAATGTTTTAGACTGTGGCCGTCACGCAAAATCAAATCATTTCTCGACTTCCCGAATATTTCAATGAACCCGATTCGTTCATACCAGAAAGATGGTTGCGCAATAATGATAGGATAAATAAGCTGGGAGAAAAACCTATTGATCCATATATTGTATTACCTTTTGGTCATGGTCCGCGGTCGTGCATTGCCAGACGATTTGCAGAACAAAACATGCAAGTTGTTTTACTTCGGGTAAGTGTTTTACAAATTGTATATCATTTTTGTTATCATTCTTATTCTTATTTATTCTTATTATAATGCATATACAATTGTGCAGATTTGCAGAAATCTACGGTTTACATGGTGTGGAGGATCTCTCAATACGGTTTCATTACTAATCAACAAACCTGATGCGCCAATTAAATTAAAATTTGAAAAATTATATGAATAAAATGTGAATTAGAATCACAATAATTGAGAATCTTCAGAAAATCTTCAGAAAAGATATATCCGAAAACAGATATTTGTTATATATTTATTTGATAGCAGAATTGCCTCTTGATTTATTCAATACAGTAATAGATAATAATTACAAGTATATGTAAAGGATGATAATAACTTATCAAATACGAAAACTAAACGAAATGTAAATGCGCTCTAATTATAAGTCATGTACTTCGGCGTTGCAGAGAACTTGGCGTATGACTTGATTACCTTATTAACCGCCTCAAGGAAATCTTTTTCCGTAGCAACTTTACGTCGTGCACGGATTGCGAACATACCAGCCTCAGTACAAACCGATCGTATTTCAGCACCTGTACTATTGGGACACAAACGAGCGAGCAACTCGAATCTAATGTCCCTTTCTACGCTCATTGAACGCGCATGGATCTTGAAAATGTGCGTGCGTCCTTCGAGATCCGGTAGTCCAAATTCTATCTTTCTATCTAGACGACCTGGTCGCATTAATGCGGGATCTAATGTGTCTGGTCTATTTGTCGTCCATTAGAACTTTTTATATTGCCTCGCGGATCAATCTAAGAAAGTTGATAAGTTGATAAGTCGTAAAAAACTAATAGTTCTTTAGAGAGAAGGATAACTTACCCATCTAATTGATTGATTAATTCCAGCATAGTACGTTGGACTTCATTATCGCCACCGGCACCATCATCAAAGCGAGCGCCACCGATGGCATCGATTTCATCAAAAAAGATCAAACAAGCCTTTTTACTTCGTGCCATCTCGAATAGTTCTCGTACCATTCTAGCGCCCTGCAAAAGAATCAAATTGTATGTGTTATCTGTTTAAAGTTACTTATTATTACTCTTTTATATAATGACTAACATACCTCACCAACATACTTCTGGACCAATTCTGAACCAATTACACGAATAAAACAGGCATCTGTCCTATTAGCGACTGCTCTAGCACATAAAGTTTTCCCCGTACCTGGTGGGCCAAATAATAAGACACCTTTTGGTGGTTCGATACCCAAGTTGACAAATTTTTCTGGCTGTAATTAATCATTTTTTTTTGTGCATTTTATAAATCATTATAATAGTGAACAACTATATACTAACATGCAACAGTGGTGTTTCGACGACTTCTCTCAATTTTTCAATTTGTTCTTTGCAACCACCAACATCACTATAAGTAACATCAGGTTTTTCTTCTACTTGCATCATTGTTACAGTAGGATCGATTTTGGATGGCAATGGAATATGAATTTGATACTTGTTTCGATCCACTCCTACTCTCATACCTTCTTCTATATCAGTTGGTGCTACAGAATCCGCCAAGTCAACAACAAACTTCGCAAACTGCTTTACATTTATTATATACTTTGGATCATCAGAATCTGCATTTATAATTTTGGTACAGCGTGCCACTTGCAAGGGTTGTTCATTTTGCAGAGTTTGTTTGTCAGCTGCTAGATCCCAAAGTGCCGGTGGTGCTAGACCAGTATCTGATTCTTTGATCCCAGTTAACTCATTCACTACGTTTGATAATCGTCTGAATATCTTCTTCAACAGCCTTGTATACTTTTTGTTATATTGCCCTTGGCCCTATTAATACAAAAATTTACTAAGATTACTTCAAAGTATGATATTGTCATTCATATTGCATTTATTTTTGAATAATTTTAAACTTTTTTTGCAACGATTTAATGATGTTTAACTCACATAAGTCTTCAATAAAGCAATATCGCCCTCATCCAGAGCTGAAAATTCAGAAGATAACCATTAGGAAATAAAAATTATGATAAAGTAGATGACAAAGAAAAACAAAATAAAACTCACATTTAATTTCCTTCTCCTCCTTTTCCTCTTCATTCTTCACCTTTCGCATATCTTCACCCAGATGATCCGGCATTTTCACGTTTATTTAAGCGTCCAACTTATTCACGCCACCCTTTCAACGTTATTCATAAAGTTGACAATGATCTATTTTTTTTTTTGGAGTTGTTCCCGGGCGGGAACGGTTAAGTGCCTTCAGCTTCCCTCGGATTATTCAGCACAGATCCTCTATCTTCCCTAATACAACGATCTATACGAATTTTGAGGTTATATCTTCTTCCGATTACAAGCAAAATCGACAGCCTCTCCGAGGCTGTATTCGTAAATTTACTGACAGTACTGAAAATATATAGTTCAGGTCACGTATATTGTAGATTTTCAGTACTTGCAGTGAATATCGGAACGCAGCCCGAAGCTACTTCCATTGCGGATTAACCCAAATAAACCCAACAAATAAATTGTTTTTCTTTAAAAAAAAAAAAACGACATCTATAGGGGTGTACTAAAATTCACTGCTAATATCAAATTTATACGTTCAGGTTGAACTCGTTGCACTAGTTCATGTACTAAAACAAAAATAATATAGGTAATGCGTTCCGATATTCACTTGCCAGTTCTGAAAATCTATAATATATGTGACATGAATTATATATTTTCATACTGTTAATGAATATCGGAACGCAGCCAACATCGGCTACGGTCAATAGTTGGGTTCCGTAAAGCACATATGCGCGCATTTTGTTATAGTTGCGTGACATGAACTATAGATAAATGCGCGCATATGCGTTTTACGGAATCCAATCAATGTAACACTACAAATGCTTCGGAGCGTTTGATTGTCCCATCAAAACAAAGAATTTTACCAAAGAATGTACCAAAAATGTTTCAAAGCATTTGTAGTAAGCCCTTGAGTATAGGTCTGTTCTTTTTGACTGAATTGATTGTACTAGTTTACAATTTATCTTTCTTACACTGGAAGAAGAAAGAAAAAATCTAAACTAGTACAACCTGTTCAGTTAAAAAAGAATAGATCCCGTAACCATCGTACAGCGTTGTATGGAATGTATCGATTTATTTAAATTTATTCTATTTTGATATAATGAAGACATGTTCCGCCTGTGATTATAAATTACATCCTCAGGAACATAACATCTTTCACAATAACAAGTAAGTAAAATTTATAGTATGTTTATAGTTATAGAGTTTAGAACTTTAACATACGCATTTTCTTTGCAGAAAGACATATATTTTATTCTTGACTGATTTATTTGTATTGCAACTGTTTTTATTAGGTTTCCTAAAGATGTAAGTCTTTATAAAGTTTGGTGTTCTGCTGGGTCCCAATTTTTCACTCTCAAAAACAACGGTACTCTGCAGTCAACATTTTTTGGACATGTGTTTCTTTTATCCTTCTGGTGACATGAATCAAGGAAACATATAAAAAAAGGAATCAATACTATTCCAATAATATTCAAATGAATATCAAGTACTAGCCAAATTGATGGACTCATAAAACAGACTGAAAGAACTGCTTCGACTAATATAATCGATCAAGATGAATATAACACTACATCATTGAGGTACGTCTTTGTACTATTTTACATTAATCATAACAATATTTAAACATTTATTTTATCTATGTTATAATTAGTAAATTATATTATAGTATATCCGAAGAAACCATTTGAATAAAATGGAAAATAATGACAAGAAAAGTGCCAGAGTTTAAACTATGAGTTTAAACTATGATTTTTCCTTGAAAAATTAATGTTCTAATATACGATATATCACGGTATAATCAAAAAAGTGAACAGATAACAGTGATGTATAGACAATCTGAACAAAAATATTATTTGTTTAGGTTGTTTATACATCACTTATATCTTTTGTTTTTAATATTTTTTGTCTACTAAGTCATAGTCATAAACAAGGCTTTTTATCTATTGCTTTTCTCATCAATTTCATATTTTAAACGTTTGTTGTTTTTTTTAATTGTTATAGTCTTTCATATTTGTATTGATTTTAGTGATATTTGCAATTATTTATACATTTTTTAATTTAATTTACCCCTTAATTTATCTCTGTTCTTATATCTTTAGTTATTTACATTTCTTCCCTCCTCTCTTTTCCCTATATTATTTCGCGGGAAGATCAATTCAATTGAACCTTTCGAAGAAAGAAATTCAAATTCTGCACTGCAGAAACCGCCCAAGCGCCTGGCGGACGGTCCTTGACCGAGATGATATGTAGAAGAATGTAAAGTAACAAAAGAGAGGCCGACATGTGCATACAACACTTTCACCTGTACCCGTCCCACCCTGTTCGTTCGCTATGATTCATTTGAAGTGCACACTTCAACGACAATGTACGACATTTTTCTTTTTTTCGTTTGTTTTTTTTCTATATTTTTATTTTATTGAAAGAAATTTTCTTCATCAGAAAATTAAATAAAAATTTAACATTTATCTTTAAGAAATAAAATTGAGCGAAGTCTTAAATATTAAATTAAACATTAAAAAACATTAAGAAAGCTGGAGACAAGAAATAATACCTGATAAAGAGATATATGAATTCTATTTGAGCTTTAAAGCTCTTGATAGTTTATTACAAATTACGAATTTATAAGATTACAGGTAAAATATATAACAAAAATTTATACAAAATATATTAAAAGTATAATATTTTGTGACAGTTTCAAAACAACAATCGTAGTTAAGAACAAAAGTAATTTAATTTTAAATATATGGTTATTTATTTTATCAAAGTAGAAGAAAAATTTACAGTATATTTTACATCTGTTCTATTAATCATATATATTGTTTAAAAATATTGCTAATTTAAAGTATCTTGTAAAAAATTTTATTACATATTTTTCTACTGACGTCATCAATCTATCCAAACAACACAGATGACCATTATGAACTCAAAAAAATTTCTTTTTGATAATTCGAAAAAAATTCTTTAGAAGTATACATTTTGACTTCTGTTAAATCGAAGTTACGTTGAAAGAAGTTCTTTTTCTATTAGTAATGAATTCAAAAAGAATCACTTACCCGCGAGTAGTATGTGGCATCGACGAACGGATGCCATCTTTCTCGTAACTAAAAACCATATAGGATAGAATAAAAGGCATTACATTATGAGAGAATAAAAAGCATTATTTTTGAATCGTGTCTCAAATAATGAGATGAAATGATACCCTGAGACCTTATTTTGGCATTTCTGATAATGCCTTGAAAATAAATCCAAACCAAAATTAATCTTCAAATAAAATAAAATACTAACAATAAAATACTAAATATTTTAACAGTACAATTTGATAGTACAATTTAGTATAACAATTAATTTAAGAACCTAATATTTCTTTAAAAGATATATTTGTTGGGTATTCATTAAGTATACTACCTAAAACCTATTTCGATTTCATTACGAATTCTCGATAAACTGTAAAAAGATTTCCTTTTGTACCTGAAGAAGAGTTCAAAATTGGTGACATAAAAATGAAATCCTGTGGAATTTTTATAAACGTTTTTAGATTAGAAATGAGAAGGGAAAGAAATATATTTTATAATTTGGGGATTGATCTCGCGGAAATGCGAATGATATATAGTGACCTTTAACAAAACATTATTGCATTTATTGATTGATAAAGTGCAAATTATGAATCCATTTGTTTTTTTGTCACGGGCGTTGTTATAAATAAAGCGGTAGCCTTTTTTTGAAAAATGTAACCATTAATTATATTTATTAGATTTTACGATAAATTATAGACAAACGGCAGCGCAAGAGCGAGTAAGTACTTTCTTAGCACGAGATGATGCAACGACGTTGTACAGCAGCGTTACATGCCTGTAAACCTAGCACTTTCTCGTCATTGATGTATGTCACTGTGTCAGGTCAAACGAAAAGTGACTTCGAAGCCTTCGTTCTTTAAACTGGAGCGTATCTTAATGAGTTCTGAGTTGATTCCCACGCAATTTCGCACTGCTTCAAACGAAAATTTGCGCAATATGTCATCAGGTGATGTAAGTGGAAACTGACATTAAATGTTTTTTTTTCTGTTGTTAGAATCACAATTTTATTATTATTTTACATTATTTGTCGTTTTTCATGGAAACAAGTACAATCGAATAGATAAACATAACAACTCTCCATAAAAATCTTTCTAAAACGCGAGATATGTAATACATGACTTTTCACACAAAATATCTTTAAATAACAATCGAATGCGTAGTCCATCGAATAATTTCTCTGAGAGAGAGATTTCAATTTACGTTAAAGTTACGTTTAATGAGAAAATAACTAAGTAATGATAAATCAACGTTTCTTCTCAATGTTGATATAAAAATGATCCAACGGATAGGAAGAGAGAGAAATAAATTCAAAATAGAACAAATAGAAACAATATATATATATTGATTTATTGCATAACAGCAATTGTATTTATTTAGGGATCGATACTGTTTTGTTATCAGCTATACTGTGTCCTATGTACACATATCACTTCTCATTAGAGGCTGGAAGAGGGAAGAGTGACCCAAAGCCGTATTGATATCTTAGCCGAGCCTCCCGCCAGTGAATTCACTGGACTATGCTGGTCGTGGGTGCATCGTGGAGGTTTTTTTCGGATCGTACTCGGTGAAGTTAGAATCTCCGGAACGGATTTGCATTGTACGACGGCCCGCCGAATCTTTGCTGGAAGGGCTGCCGGTCGTACTTCTCATCATCAGGTCCAGGCGGGTTCGCCGCGAGCGCTCTTCTAATAGCTTCCGGGATAGGAGGTGGCGTGGGAATATGAGCACCCTCAGCGTGAAAACCGTTTTCATCGGCCGTATATTGGATAGTGATGGGGGTTCCATCGGGTGCATGATATGAAAATCTGCCCTGGACCACCTGTACAGAAATTATATAGAAAATGATGGCAACGAAGAGAGTTGATAGAGACTTAAGTTAAGTTGATTGCGATGGTTGACAAATTTAATGTTTAACGACATTTTGGCTGAGTTTCTTATTCGAGGAAATTTATCAGATTAGTTTTCTCTTCTTAAAAACTTGGACTTGATTACGGAAAAGTGAAATATTTTTTTAATTAAAGAGTTCAAAGTAAAATAACATTTTTGTCACTAGAAATATAAGCCAAAAAAGAGTAAAACGTAAAGTTAGTTCATTGCATAAATTCTTTGCATAATATTAATAATTCTGCATTTAGTTGCTAATAATTAAATTAATGCTCTCTAATGTTATGAAAGCGTAATGATATATATACAAAACTTGTTCAGAGTCTAATAATTATAATAGTATTTTTAATTATGAAAAATGTGACTTAAAGAATTTCAATTAAATTCAATTCAAGTAAACTTTTAGTTTACTTTCTAGTGAACGTGATTTCATAAAAATAAAATCTTTTCTTGTACGATCCAACGATATCAACTTTCGGAAGTCGATTAAATCTCTTAGAATCTTGGATCTTAGATAAAATGTGTTAAATATAAATGCGATAAAACAAAATCAAATAATTATTTTACCTCCGTTTGACCTTGAGGTCCGACTTGGGGATATCCGCTTTCGGATACTGAAATTCCGTTCTCGGTTTCATAACTGAACGAATAAGATCCATCCGGCGATGTGTCCTTTGATTGACTTCGAATGCCTATGAATGGCTTTGCGCCAGATCTACGGTAAAAAATTGAAACCATATCATTTCGTACAATCTTGAAATCGAAACCATTTTATGTCATATAATGTAAGAATCGTCGTCTCGTTTCGTAATTATGTTATTTCGATTACTAAACGATAATTAACTCTATTAATAACTTTGTTAGAACACAGAAACAATAATGAAAAATAGATTAAAAAATAGCTTTAAAAATTTATTTTTAATGCTGTTATACTTTTTAAGAAATACATATCTGTAAAATTTCTTACTTGTGTCAAACTTCTTTGAATCTTTGTCGAATCTTGTTCGAATTAACTAGACATATATTTTTATTATAATGTAGTGTTAAAGTATTTTTATATATATAAATACAATCCTTGACATTACATTAATTTACCATAAATGCGTGCAAAGATTTATCTGTATGACAACGATATATAAAATTTAATATATAAAAATTTTAATATATAAAATAAATTCTTTATAATTATGATTATTCATTTCATAATTATCAAAAAAATATCAAAAATTTAATTTATTTTGTATATAGATTTCATACGTATATTGCGTGTATTGCGGTTGGGGCTGCGGTTGCGGTTGTGGTTGCGGTTGATACGGCCTCGGCGTTGCTCTGTATGCATTTTGGCTAGGAAAGCCGCGATACGATCCGAATTGTCCAAAGACACAACCGATGACTGCAAAGGCCAAAATCTGCAACCATACTGATATCTTTACTCGACGAACCGATAAATAAAAATGTTTATAAATGAAAATATTTATAAATATTTAAAAATACTTGTTCCATAAATATATATATATATAAAGATATATTTTTATATGTGTTAGTACAATTTTTCATATGTACAATAAAAAAACCGAACAATTTTTAATGATTAGTATAATATTAATTTATTTTAAAATTACTAAAATTCGCGTTTGCGAATTTCTCATTATTCAAGATTTCGAAACATCACATTTATTGAAGTCAAAAATCTGTTATTGAGATATAATTGTCGATTGAAATGTTACTATATCTAGCAGGGTCGCTTTTTACGCCACCCTATGTGAATTCACCAACCGCTTTGCAATCCTCATAACCGGAATTGCGATTTAATAAAGAAAAGCTCTTTTCTGTAATACGAACACCTGTAATGCGATACCTTCACCGATTATTCCGCGTCCACTGATAAATGTAAAACAAATAAAAAAAAGAAGAAAATAGTAAAACAAAAAAAAAAAAAAAGAAAAGAAAAGAAAGAAATAAAAATAAAAACAAGAGAACACAAAAAGCGAATGCGATCGCGAGAGATCGAGGAAGGTAATCGATAAATCCAAAATGTCGCTGCGGCGGTTTCGACGAGATAAAACACTCACTAGATACTGCATGACGACGGCGGTTTGTCGACGATTTGTGTACGGCTTTGTCGATTTGAACGAGATCGAATCTGTGATTCCGTGCCGCGAGCACCGCCGTCATTTATATGAAGACGCTCAAGAGGATCTTCCCTTCCCATTCTCCCGGTTTCTGCGTAGAATCGCTCGTTCGCTCGCCGCTCATGTCCAGGAGAGGAGCATTCTCCTTCGTCGAGGATCCCTCGTCGCCCTCGCATCTTCGCCCCCACCCTGCAACCCCAAACCCCCGTGCACGGCGTCGTCTCTGCCACCTCCCAGCAGCCGGCGGCTGTTCCTTCGCGATCGAATCGGGTTGCTGCCTCGGATTAGCGCGAACTCAATTCACCAAGCAAGCCAATTAATCGTTTGGCGTATACATATACGTATGTATGTACACGAATGCCCACGCTACCCGGCTACTGTTTCAATTTAATAGAGTCATTCGTTAATCGAGTCTCGTTATCGCGAGAGGAGAAACGATGTGGGTGTCATTGTACGTAACGTTGACGATATTGGGTGATAGATATGTAACTTCGCGTTTTTCTCGATCGGAAAACGACTTCTAAACATTTCAAAAAACAACTACTGTCGAAATGGCTCAACAGTTGATTGAGCGAACAAAATAATTTTTTATAATTGAATCTCCTGAATAGTTTAGCGATTCTTGTCTTTAGAGAAGATATGATAATTGCAACTTCGATAGAGGAGGATTAAGCTCACGTGACACGATTATTGTACGTTCATTTTTTTATCGAGAGAGGTTACATAAGGATAATTATATTGAATTTATTAAATTTAGTTACCAATCATACGAAGATATCAGATATCACGTAAGGTCTATAAATAATGCACAGAGCATTCGCCTTTGTAAATGTAAAAGGAACACAGGCGGGAGTAGCGAGTTTTCTCCCGATTGTATCGGCGACTCCCAATAAATTTAAATGTTATGCTGCTTATGACAGTCGGTATTGTGCGCAATTTGCATTAAAGAAATGCGGGACGTGTACGTGTAAATCCCACGCGATGTTGCGGACAACATCGACCGACAACAACGGATGCGACGAGCGTTCCTCGATTCAAGATCGAGACCGCCGAACGGGCGCGACATAATCGGCAGTGATGATTTCATTTTTTTTTTTTTTTCACATTTGTCACGTACCTTTCATTCCTCGCGGCGAGATTCTGAATAATGTAATCGTATTATCGCATTATCTCCTTCGTGACTACTTTCAAAGCGATTAGTAAACGTATCAACCTGCCAATTCACGCGTTTACGGCTCGCCATCGGTGTCTGCATCTACGCTCTTGCGTGTGGCAATGCAAATGTAAAATCGACAAATCAGAAACAATGCACCATAGGATATCCATTCATGCACCTGATTTCGTCACGTGTATTGGGAACGTTACGTAATGGCGGTTACACACCGATATGCCTCGCGAGAAATCGATGCGCTCGGATTCTCCCTCGCAACCTTGAGAATCTTGCATCTCTTCTTTTAGTAAGTAACGTAAATTCTTTGACTCGAGAAAAAACAATAGCACTTTACATGAACAGTCAGATTGATATGGACACTGCAGTAACAACTTCATTAAAAATATTTAGAAAAGTATTGTTGAATACATATTGTTTGCCCAAGTCGTATCTCAATATTTTATATTATTATTTAATATAAAAAGAAGTATATAAAATAAATCTGTGAGAAAATAAATGAAAAATGTAATAGTCATTATTACTATTATATTTTGTACGTGTTTAAACATCAAGTTTAAAAAACTAATTCGTTCAACTAATCTTAATTTTTTTATTAATGTATGTAACTGATAATAATGTAATCATGCAATTTTATTTTGAAAAATTTTACTATGAAAAATACTTTGAAAAATCATTCAAAGAATCCCCCCACTTAAAAAATTAAATAATGCACATCTAAGTAGATGTTTTTCAAACATTATCTTTTCGATTATACGCTCAATTATAAATTGATAAATTCATTAAATACTTTTTGTATAAAAAAAATTACTTTTATTATGATATTCATATTCACTCGGGTCTCTTTTTTTCGAATCTTTTGTCACGAGTTTTTTACTTTTCAAGCGAGAATTTTATCTTTTCTACATCTGTCGAAATCCCAACATATAATTCTTCATAAAGTATGATTACTCCCAGAATAAAGTAAATATTGGATTTTTTTTTTTTCGTACGAGAACCGCGATATACTCGTATGCGTGTATAATCGCTCGCAGAATTGTAATATCATCCGAATGAGACCATGACGATTCGAATAAGACCGATGATTCGCGACTTGACTCAATGTACATGTGATTTACCAGTTGACAAATTGATACTCACACAAGATAAATCACAAAAATTGATGTAATGCACATATGATATAGACTTATTTGCGGCAATAAATGATATAGTACCTAAACATCTATTCATCATTTTTCATGGCCGATTATCGTTCGATCAACCAGTTGAAAAATGCATCATTACCAGATTGGCCCTATGGATGCTGTCTACGTGAGGTTAAATGTCAAGTTATATCATCGCTGAGATTTCTTACAGTTGAATATTGAATTACGTTTACCGCTTCGTTTAACAAAATATTAATTAATGCATACACCGTGATCGAACCTTTTATAATAAAGCTTTAAATCAAATATAAATATTATATCGATAAAATTTATATAAAATTTATATCGATATAATTTATTTATATAAATAAAAAAATTATAATAATAATTCAATTATATATATAATTTTTTCTCTGAAAATTTTTCTTCTTTAATTTATTGTCAACTTAAATTGATCATTAAATGGGTCAAAATTTGTTAACTCGCTCATATAGAATAGAATTTTTTATTTGGTTACTAATATATATTAATTTAATTCAAATTCCTTCAATTAGATACATTTATAATTCATTCCTGCATATTTTGATTGACGCATTTTATTTATATACGGACATATGGCATTTATTTTTTATTGTATCTGTTAAATTATATCTGTTAAATAGTACGAATTTCTTTATAAATAATAGTATATATCAATGTCAAATTAATTAACCGCTATATATAAAACTACTATATAAAACTACTATATAAAACCAAGTAATTCTGGCATTCGTCGACTTTTGTGCGGTATGTAATATCGTTAGGCAGGAAAGAAACGATGAAATCCTGGAATCCAACATTATGCAGTCGGCAATTCTACCCAATCCTTACAGCCCAAGAGCTAGGAGCGATATTGAATGTAGTGTGTGTTATTGCAAAATAACGTGCGCGCACAAGGTAAACTCTATTTCCCCCCGAGTTTAATGCACATAAGATAAACCTAACGCTTGCCAAGCGATTTTCCTGGCCTGGGTATCATACGGTACGTTAGTAATGCGCGTGCACACATTATAGTAAATAACGCGTCGAAACCTGCGAAATGCCGTCAAGTAAGTGGTATTCACAATTTTCATTAAGTACTCGCCGTTGGAGGGGAGAGGGGCGGGAGGAGCATCACTCTGTGGGACGCTTCGGCGCTCTTTCGTCATAATTACATCTGACTGAACTGCACATCCCGGAATCCGCGAAATCATAAATTTGCCTACCGCACCGTTCTCGCACGCGGTGATTAATACCAGCCAGAACGTTGTTAGAAACTTTATTCGCGAATGCTGATTTATTGTGCATTAAAGTCTCTCATTCCGTCATTTGTCACCTCTACGCGGTGGGAATATAATCTCCCTCTATTCAGTTTAACGCTCTTTTAAGATAAGTTACAGCCAGATATCACAAGCTAGTTGAATAATATATTGTGCATGCATTATTTCATCACCAAAAGTAAAATGGCGACGTCGAAGGTGTAACGAATTGTTATTAATCAAGTAGATCACTCGAGTTATTTTATAATCGTTTTGCTCCGGCTGCATTATGATCCTAGATCTACCATAATTAATGTTTAATTTCTTGCAAATATCTTTCAAAGTCGTCTTTTACGAGTAAGTTGACCGGATCAATCAGAGCCTACGAAAGCCTCTCTTCTTATCCGCGTTTCCTTTATTTAAAAATCCTAGATTTTTAAGATGAGTATTTTACTTCGATCTTCATAAAACAAGATATATCAGAAAGAAGTATAACATTCTTTTAGAATTAGAAAAATATAGAATTAGAAAATTAATTAATGAGTTTTATCATGGGATAAATATTAACTAAAAAGAACTTGGAAGTAACTTGGAAAACGAGTGCTTGGGAATTATATTAAAATTTAGAGCAAGCTTTAATGTCTGCAGTCTGTTTATTATATTATAAACTGCGATGTTATAATCTATATCTATTTTTTAAGGCCATCAAAGACGAGCAAGCCATCAAAAATTTGTTATTAAAAGCTTTTTTAAAATTTCTAAAAAAAAAATTGAAAATTCAAAATTTTAGAATGAAATTGAATTGATTTCGTATAGATCCATAGGCAGTAGTTGATGACGAGTAGTGAATCAATGATCTGACTGCGGAGGCGGACGCAGCCGGACAATTTCAGCAAGAGAGAGACGAAGAATCGCAAGCCCATTGCGCGGATCGGTTTGCACAATTCTCGGAGGATGGGAGGATTGCTTGGGAGGACCCCGGAGGTATGCGCCTTCTTGAACACGCGCGCACGAACGTCTTTGTGCCTAGCCATATGATGACGAGGCATACCTAAGCCAACATGGCTAATAAAACTAGAAAGGTCAGACTAGAGTTCAAGTGGGTCTCGTACACCCCGAGGCGGGTAGGCCTCGGATCTGGAGCCATTCCGGATGAGATTTCATGAGTGACGAAGGAGGAGGAGTCTTCTTCTTATTGAAACATTCAAGCCTCGATTTCGTCCGACTTCGTGCCCGGGACAACGCTCCCGAAAACCGCCGTTGCGGAATGTTTCACTTTCGGCTTCGATCCGATTTCCACTTCGTGATCCGTTTGCCTACCGCGCTTGTCGTGTACTTCGCAATCCGTTTCTTCCGAGCGAGAATCAAATTTATGAGTTGGAAAGAGAGAGAAAGAGAGAGAGAGAGAGAGAGAGAGACGAGTTTGTTGCTTTAAAGGTCAGTTGATTGACAAGTACTTCCTCCCTCTAGACTTTCTCCTTCGGGATTTCGTTAATCCCGTCGCGCACGGTTAGCAGAAATTCAGCAGGAATTTAAAAAAATCGACGATTTTAGTATTTAAATTTTTTTTATTTCTTCACAGAGTGACACTTTTCACATATGTTCTTCGTTCTTTTATTGTTGGATTTCTGGCGCTTCGTAATTACAAATAATCTGTATTCACAGATTTTTCTTAATATTTTCATGTACGCATAAGAGTTCCATAACATTTGATGACAATAGCGGCATTCTTTTATTTATTTTTCTCACTTTTTTCTCAGTTCTTGGAATTCCGAAATGTTATAATCGTTCAATGTGAAATTTTACGATTTATTATCCAATACGTAAATCTTCTGTATTTCTTAATAAATGTTTATTATAGCGATTATAATTAATTATATAGATCAATCCTTTTGCTATTCAATCTTTATTTTTCTAGATTAGATGTCTGATTGATAAACTGCTCAACGCAGTTAAATCTTCTTTCCACTTGCCTTTTACCATCAACTTATCAAGGTCTTCGATGAAGGGGTGAAGTCGCATGTTTCTCGCATTGATCTGTCATTGATTTGTTGACGACATGTTATATCGATGACGTCACAATATGAATGCGCGTATAGTTAGGATCATGGACACAGTAACGAAGTGCTTATTAGGGATCATTCCTACCTCGACGTTATCGATCTGCATGAACAAATTGCGAAGCGTTGGCATTCGAAGCGTCTCCTTCTTTCACTGTGCCATGCCCTTCCTTTCTTTCCGTTATAGATGACGAGCGGAGAAAGGAATTCATGTCGGGAGGCTCACGCCTGTCGTCGAAGATCTATCCACCACGAGAGATCCCACGAGCACGATTCAGGTGGACATTTTAATTTTTTCTTACAATATATGTCATTAATTCTCTGGCTCTCATTTCTGTATCTGCTTTTTGAATGTTGTGTGCACAGATAA